TAATCCTGTTTGTTTGTTCATTTGTTTGTTTTATTTTGTTTTGTTTGCCTGGGACAGAAAAGGGGAGGAGGAAGATACCCTTAGATTAGAATGCAAGCCTTAAAATAAAAGGCCATATGTTGGCCCAGGAAGGATTTCCTTTTACAACATCAGTAGTTAATCATCCATGTCTAAAGTTTTCACTGCTGTGGAGCATGCCACTTCACAAAAGAGTTCATTCTCATTTTAGACAGTTACAAATTGTATAAAGTTCTTTTTACTCTGAGTTGAAATCCTTATCCCATCACTCCTATCTCACTTATGCTAGTTCTGTCCTTTGGAGAAATATTAAACAAGTCTCCTTTATCTTCCACATCTTCCTCCATTGAGCATTTAATGACAACTTTTATGTCTCTTTATTTTTCCCATCTCCTTATTAAATATTATCAGTTCCTTTGATTACTCCTCATATGACATGGTTCCCAGATGTTACGAATAAATAAGAGCTGTAGCTTGACTTAAAATTTATTTGGTATGCCCTGACCAGTGTGGTTCAGTTGGTAGGAGCATCATCCCATACACCAAAAGGTCGGTCTCTCTCTCTCTCTCTCTCTCTCTCATTTTTAATGTGTCCTAAATAGAATATAAAATGCAAAGAAGAGAACTGAAGTTTCCTTTATTTCTCCTTTATTTATCTATAATTGACACAATTGGAAGGACTGTCTAGAAGTTAAGAACCCAATGGTCCACCCAGGAGCCATGTCTATGCTATTCTTGTGATCACACACACACACACACACACACACACACACACTCACTCACATACATCCGTCATGGGGTGGATCTGTGATACAAGGTCAACCTCATCTCTCTGGCCAATTTATTTGCTTCAAATGAATAGTCACAAGTTCCAAACTGGACTATAAAGAGTCATTCCCCAAGATTGCAAGCTAAAACTCAGACAAGACCTGCTTCCCTCTCAGCTTGTGGAGGTATTAGATATGACAGCCATTTACCCATTTTGTAGAATAAGCCAATTGACAGAATGAGGTCCATGTGCAAAGAAAGTGGGGAGAAAGATTTCAAATCTCTAGTTCCAGTCATTTTTGAAACCAAGTCTACCCCTAACTTTCCTATTTCCTGGTTTAAGCCAATAATGCCCCCTGACTGAACCAAGTTTGCATTAGAGTTGTACCATTTGCAGCACAGAGTGTCCTGTCTAATACAATATTCATAAGGTTCAAACTACTCTACTAGGACGAACAGAATGCAGATCATAAAAAAGAAAAACTGCCATTCCACCCTACAAAAGGTTTGGATGGAATCTCTTTCCAGCATAATTTCAGAATTAGAGTGATACTCACTTACCAAAGAAGATTAAGGTCTATTTTCCTTAAGAGCCTAAGCTCATAGGGCTGACATTGTTTGTCCAAAACTGTATTCCTAGAACTTCAGAGTGCCTAGCACATAGTAGGTGAATAAGACACTCTCCACTATACTTTTCATAGTAAACAGTAGGCAAAACATTGAATAAACTTACTAAAATGAAGACATGAGTGCCCTGGAAAAAACATATCATTTCACATCCTTAAGATTAGATTACCGACTCGCCACATAAATAGTAGGACAAGATTATCTCTCCAGTCTCTTTTTAGCCATAAAATGTTATGATTCTATCAATACTCAACAACACTAAAGAAGAGTCTTCAAAAGACCTACGTATGCTTAGGGGGGAAACATACCATAACAAAGAAATATGTAATTGGAGAGAGAAAAAAAGCAAAAGAATATAATGAGAAGCAATCATCAATGATATGATAAAAGAGGTCTTCAGGTATGCCATCTTCCTATTAGTTTCCTATCTTGTGCTAACCAATTTTGGTGGTCAGAAATGCCCTTGGTGCTGGATCCAAACTGCCAGCCACCAAGCCTTTCTCCTTCCTGGGCCTTATGCATCTCCATTTAGAGTTGGCTTCCCACCTCTCACCATTCCAGACAGTGTTTCTTGTCACCAACAGAAGATATACTCAATGATTTTGTTTCCAATCTTGCTCCTTGCAATGGCTGATGCCCAAATGTCCATAATTTCCCATTTATTTCTGGTGTTTTGAATTTAGGATTCTGTCTCAATATAAACAATCATAAATGGCATCTCTATAAATTACTGGGGACTATTTACACTAAGCAGCTCTAAGGAACTGACCTCATATCCTTCTACTAGGGAAAATATTCTTATTATAGTTAACAACTAATGTCTAAGTGTTACTATATACTTGCATATTAAATATTAAGAACTTTATACCAGCATATTATACTATGAATATGTACTACATTAAGCACTTTGAATGCATTTTCTCACTTAGTTTTCATAACACCTCTGTGATAGAAGTACTAATAGCTACCTATGTTTAAAGATGAAGAATCTGAGGCTCAGAAATAATAAATTACTTCTGGTTGTACAGCTAGTAAGCACAAGAGCCATATCCATCTGAATCCAGAATCCTTGATCCGACCAATTACATGACTCACAAAAGCACTGATCCCTATGGGAAATTGGAAATGGGGTGTCCAAGAGGGGTACCAAAAGCTAAGGAAACTAAAATCACCATGCTCTACTTCTCGATTTGGCTTTGAGTCAGCTCTATTTGAAGAAGAACCTTGTTCCCATTATGTAGCAATAGATTATCTGCCATTTTGCATTGTGGAAATGTACCCTCCATTATCCAGGCTAATCTAGTTGAGTGTGTAGAATGTCGTACACAGACATTCCAATGACAGACAACTAATTCAATCTTCTGTGTGAGGAAGATGCTACTGAACATCTCTTCAATTTTTTTCTCCATAGCTTTTGATGAAAGGCACCTCACATATTCCTTCCTACAGCATCTAGAGAAGAAAAGTAATTTAGAGTACCAAAAAAGGGAGAGAAAGAAGAAAGGTTATAAGAAGTGCTATTCCCCCAAAATATATATATAAAAAAACACACACACACACACACACACTAACACAAAAATTAGAATTAAAAAATAAGTGAATCAGTGCAGGGTGATTATCTGGTAACTTGAGAATCAGGAAGAAGTGAATGCTTGTGGCCCGTTGCTAAACAAAGAAAAGCATTGGACTGTGCATTAGAAACCATATGTTCAAATAGTCAAGGTGGAATTTTCCTACATCACAGAGTAGAGAGGTATTGAGTATTTCCTTCAGAAGTGAGACCTTACTGCTATAATCTATGCTGGGTCTGTAGCAGCAGCATCATTTCACCATTAAGCAAAAATCCCATTATTTTTAGGTTCCATAATCTCTAATTCCTCCAAAATCTTAAACCTATTCACTAAGACTTATATACATCAGTAAAAAATAATACTGATACCTACCGAAGGGTCATTAGACATTTCTATGTGATAATCAAGGTTTCTAGTTTGAGTGAAATGGGAATCAGACTATCAAACTCTTTGTGGTCATTCAGGAATTAATACATAACGGTCTAAGTCCGAAAAGTACAACTTTGGGTAGAATGCAGCAGAGATTCCCTCTCACTGAAATAATAATTTTGTTTGTTAGGAAGTATAGAAGTAATAATTAATTGGAAAATTGTCTTAAGCTAAATAGAGGAGCAGGATCTAAAATACTACACAGTTAGAAATACTTAAAAGTAAAATATCCATAAAATACACTAAGTCTAATGCCTTCATTCCAAGTCTAACTATTTTTTATTCTCACCAATTTCCATTAAACAGGGAAAGGAGCAGGGAGGAGAGAAAGCATTTGAAAAACTGCCAGAGTAAAAAATCCCATAATGAAATTTTGCTCATTCTTCGAGAAATGAAGTAGAATTAGATGCTTCAGTGGTGGTGAATTCTAGAATCTGGGTAGCTGCCAGTAAATGAAGCTTTTCCATAATGTCAAATGCAAAAGCTATCTGATATCAACATATTGAGCTTGAGTTTTTAAATTCCTATTTCCTTACACCAAATTGTTTGAAACCTTTGAGATAAAAACTTCAATAAACTAGTGTTCCAAGCTTTTAATATTTCAGTCCCTTGAGCAAGCATGTCAGATTAATCTTCAAATTGCAATGGGCAGAAAGAACATTCAACCAAATTCTTAAACCCATGTCTCTCTCAAAGGATGTTAATAATGTAAGCAGTTTCATTGGCTATTAAGATGTCAAACTTTCCTAGTTCTCAGCAGTATCACTATTTAACAGGGGGAGGGGGGAAAGGCCATTCTTTCCTGAAAGGAGGGGATTTTACTTACTATATCTTTGTGTCCACTTAGCATTGAGCATATTGCCAGGCACACAGTAGGCATTTAACAAATACTTTTTGAATGAGTTGATGGATTGGCCTGGGGGAAAGTGGAAATCTTGCTGAGAGCAGCATTCAAAATCCTGCCATTGCTCAGCAACAAAAACCATTTCCAGAATTAGGGTTATCAAGGTAGGAGCAGGAATTTGAACATGTATCTTCCAAGTGCCATCAAGAGGATGGTTTCCTGAGCTGGCGAGCAGCCACCTAAGAGCCACTCAAAGAGGAATCAGACTCCTCTTCAGCCTCACCATGCCTGGAAAACTCCTGCCCTGCCTCTCTACCCCCAACTCCCTCCTCTGTCTTTTACTGGACTTGGGTTTCCACTCACAGAAGTTAAGTACAAGCTTCTACCTTGCTGATCTAACTCAGGCCTCCTCGCCATTCCAAGGTTTTCCAAGCATTGCTCAGAGGGACGCCACACCATGCTAGGCACAAGGAAGGAGACACACAAATGGCTCCCCACACATTTGAAGGAAGAAAGAGGGCGA